TATGAGCTGGATTTGCCTTCAGAGTTAGCATTAGTGCATCCAGTGTTTAATGTGTCCTTGTTGAAGAAATGTATTGGTGATCAGACTTTAGTTGTACCTTTAGAGAGTGTCAGTGTGAAGGAAAGTCTCGCTTACGAAGATCCCCAATTGAAATTCTTGACCATTAGGTCCGTAAGTTGAGGAATTAGGAAGTCGCTTCAGTAAAAGTCCTTTGGAGGAATAAGTTAGTTGATGATGCTTCTTGGGAAGCCAAAGCTGATATGATGTTCAAATACCCCCATTTCTTTCCTTCCAATTCAGTTTCAGTAGGTAATAGTCATGTTATTCAGTATTTTCACATCTCAGTATATATGCATGTTCATGAAATCAATTTAAACTCCATGTTTTAGTTTAGAGTCAGTCCCTCCTTCAATTTTTAGTGTTTAACTTTCAGTGTTGAGTTGAAGATATTTCCCTACTTTTTTCAATCTAGTTAGATCTCATTCGAGGATGAATGTTCCCATGGAAAAGATATTGTAACACCTTAGAAGTCCCTCAATATATATCAGGTTTGGTGAATGCAGAAAAATTTGAAATTTGTAGATTTTTGAATCTTATCGATAGATTTTATGAATTGTAAAAGTAAGTACGACTCATAGGGAGCAAAATTGGTTTAGTAATTACGAGTGGGTTTCACAAGTCGTGTCTGGTTCTACGAGTCATAGACATACCTCATAAGACAACTTCAGAAACATGAAATTTAGCTTGAACAGGATATAAGGAAAACAAAGGACGTAGTTGGATCTATGGTTCGTAGAAAGGGTCTCGTAGATCATACTTCATAGAATAGGTATTTCAATATATTTGTTTCCTACGGATGGGTAGTACGAATCGCACAATGGACTACGGGTCATGATTTTGATTCGTGGTTTGAAAGTCCAAAAACTCATAAATTTCCTCCAAGTTCTACAAGCAGGGACCTCGTAAAGTCTTTTTGACAATTTTTAATAAGAATTATTTTGGTCTTTTTTCATTTTTTTAATCCAGATACTACGTTGTTTTGACCTATTCTAAGTGGGATTAAAAAATTATCATCAGTCTAAATCTATCATTCTCTCATAACTCACCCATAATTTAATTTCTTCTCTCTTAAGTCTGCTCCCTAACTAGGGTTCCAAGCTTCAAGCCTCAATTGAAAAAGTAAAGCTAGGATTTCCACTTCAAGTATATGAAAACTTTATCAATAGGTCTTTGTTCAACCATTGAGTCTCAAAGAAACCCCAATTTCTGCAAGTTATGATTTCCCAGAACTAGGGTTTAGATGATTTTCATGGCTCTTATTGAAATTCAATTTCTCCTTCATGATTAGTCTTCAATTGAATGATTTTGATCGTAATTCAATGTTTTCAATGATATTTTCAAAAACTCATAGCAAGTAAGTATTTTTCATGATTAGAATTATGTTTTTTCATATGCATGTCTTAGATTATCATATTTTTATGAATTATGATGATTTCGAATAAAGTATCTCTCAATATATACACATATATCATAATTTAAATACTTTCAGATAAAGTATCTTTCAGATTATGTTCATTTATCATAATTTATAAGCTACTCAGTATTTTATTAGTTATCAATATGAGTCAGTAATACAAATTATTATTGTTTCTTGATTTATCATGTTTCCTTGGGAGTATATTTAGCACCGAGTAAACTTTTTGAATAAATATTTTCGTTTAGTGCTTCTGGACCTTTAGTAGTAATCTCTAAGTCCCAAAACTACTTGTCACCGTAGGATTAGTCTTTATAGACTGTAGTTAGTGAATACACCTTAACTTAGATATTGGAATCTTACCTTGGCAAGTATGGACACTCTCTTTTTAATGTGGGAGCGGTACACTAAACTCCATGTAGTAGTTCACATGATTTATGTCAATTTTATTATCTCTTATCGGTTTCTTATCTTGACAAGTATGGACACTCTCATTTTAGTGTGGGAGCAGTACACTAAACTCCATGTAGTAGCTCACATGATTTATGTTAGTTTTATTATCTCCACCCTCAAATTTTCAGATATTACACAACTTTGTATATATGTAATTTCATATCAGTATATCTCAGTTTCATGTTTTTACTTAATCATTGCATCAACATGTTTCACACATTTAGTATGTTCAGCTATCATGTTTATTATGCATTTTCTCATACTCAGTACATTCTAAGTACTGACCACATACTTTATGCTTATATTTTTTATAATATAGGTTCTGACGCTTATCATCATACTCGTGATTAGTGTTATCTCTGATCAGCTAGCAGCATCATTGGTGAATCCTCATCTCCCCGAGGACAACCTTTATCTTTCTTTCAGTATTGGACTTTCAGTTTCAGACATATTAGAGTTAGCTAGAGGTTTGTCTTAGCAACTCATGTTAGTAGAGGCTTTCAAACAATCAGTTAGATTCCGCTATATTATGTTGTCTTCCAGACATTGTCTATTTCAATATTATAAATTCTATCCAGATATTTCAGTTTTAGCTTCCGCATATGTATTTCAATTTTATGTTATTTTGCTAATCTTAGTGTCATGCCAGGAGGTTAACTTGGGATCGCTCGTTGTTCTGAGCATTGTGCCACGTCTAGGGAGTAGTTTAGGGGTGTGACAGTACATATACTATACATATCTATACATACTTATACATATAATTTACATATCTATACATACTTATACATATAACATCCATATGCATATACTATATACACACACCATACACAATCGATTGTATATGTAGTGTATACTTTAGTCATTTTTGATAATTTAGATGACCGAATGATATATATTAGTAACTATCTCAAAATTCTAAAAACTATAAGACCCGCCTGACCATGAAAATTGGCATATTTGAAGCAAAAAAAAAAAATCGCTTTCAAATACAAAAAAATGATATTTAAAAATTGGAGTTTTGTTTAACCATGAATACAAATTTGAGTTGTCTTTAAATTTTCATGAGTGATTTAGAGTGAAAGTGGAAATAAACTTTTGATGTTTTTCAAATTTCAAAATTAAACTTCGAAGTTGATTTTCAATTTTTTGAAATTTTAATGACTAAACATAATTTCCTGAATTTTACTACGAAAATTGAATAAAATATTCATGATCAAATGAACACAAATGAGCATAAGAAAATTAACTTTAAATCCTAATTAAACTTCCCATCAAAGACTTCTACATATATTGAAATAATTGAAATAGGGAGAATATGTCTTTGCTATAACTTGAATTGGTTTAATCATCTCTGTACATACACATAGGCATAACAAGAAAAATAATAACATATCCACTCCATGACACTAAAGTAATACTAAAATCTAAAGGGTAAATGCAGAGAGCAGGTTAACTAAATAATGTTAATTGTGCAGGGTCCTTATAGTTATAGTCTAATATAGTGATTATACTAATATTGTTTGTTTGATATTTATGTATGACTAAAAACTAAAATAGTAAATTATTATATTCTCAGTGGGTTATCGATTAACCCAATATTAAAAAATTAATATCAAATCGATAACCCAATATTTTTTTTTTATAAAACCATTAAATAACTGTTAACCCAATAACCCAATAACATTTTTTCGTTCGGTTTATCAGTCGGTTCGATTTTTACCCCTAGCCAGGGTTTTGTCTTAGCAACTCATGTCAGTAGAGTCTTTTAGACAGTCAGTTAGATTCTGTCATGTTATGTTGTCTTCCGGACATTTTCTATTTCAATATTATGAATTCTATCTAGATATTTCAATTTTAGCTTCCGCAAATGTATTTCAGTTTTCTGTTGTTTTGCTAATCTTAGAGGTCGTTTGGTGTGAGAGATAAAAATAAATAGTAATGAGACAATTTTTGTATCTTGTCTGGTTGTCATGTTTGGGGTAACTTATCCCACTATTTATATCATAGTGATGTGATAAGTTATCATATATACATGGTGGCATAAGTAACCCCATGATAACTAATCTTGGGATAACTTGTTCCCAACCAAACGACCCCTTAGTGTCATGTTATGCCATGAGGTTAGCTTGGGGTCACTCGTGGTTCTAAGCACCATGTCGCGTCTATTTATATCATAGTGATGGGATAAGTTATCATATATACATGGTGGCATAAGTAACCCCATGATAACTAATCTTGGGATAACTTGTTCCCAACCAAACGACCCCTTAGTGTCATGTTATGCCATGAGGTTAGCTTGGGGTCACTCGTGGTTCTAAGCACCATGTCGCGTCTAGGAGATAGTGTAGGAACGTGACAGTACATATACTATACATACATATACATATAATACGCATATATATATATATATATATACATACATACTTATACATATAATTTACATATCTATACATACTTATACATATAACATCCATATGCATATACTATATATACACACCATACACAATCGATGTATATGTAGTGTATACTTTAGTCATTTTTGATAATTTAGATGACCGAATGGTATATATTGGTAGCTATCTCAAAATTCTAAAAACTATAATACCCGCCTGACCATGAAAATTGGCATATTTGAAGCAAAAAAAAAAAAATCGCTTTCAAAATACAAAAATAATGATATTTAAAAATTGGATTTGTGTTTAACCATGAATAGAAATTTGAGTTGTCTTTAAATTTTCATGAGTGATTTGGAGTGAAAGTGGAAATAAACTTTTGATGTTTTTCAAATTTCAAAATTAAACTTGAAATTGAGTTTCAATTTTTTGAAATTTTAATGACCAAACATAATTTCCTCAATTTTACTCCGAAAAATGAATGAACACAAATGAACATAAGAAAATTAACTTTAAATCCTAATTAAGCTTCCAATCAAAGACTTCTACATATATTGAAATAATTGAAATAGGGAGAATATGTCTTAGCTATAACTTGAATTGGTTTAATCATCACTGTACATACACATAAGACATAGGCAGAATAAGAAAGAAAATAACATATCCACTCCATGACACTAAATTAATTGTTAACATAAATTTTGTTACATAATAATGTATTTAGTAAAACATTACAGTAAATATAAAGAACTAACAATTAGACCATACTTCTTATTTAAGTAACAATACAACACAGTAAAGACACATAATAACGTAAACAACTAAAATAATGGACGTTTAATTAGTTAAATTTCTTGGTTGCACCTTCACCATCAGTGGGGTTTTCATTTCGCATGAAAGCCTTAGTACTTCAGACAAATCAACCGTTTTGGATCCATCAGTAGTCCCGAATTCGAACTCTTGCAAGAGCGATGCTACCCAAAAAGTGACTGTGGTCAAACCAAGTGTCTTTCCGGGACAACTTCGCCTTCCAGAACCAAATGGTGCCAGCCTTAGGTCAGACCCCAACACCGAAAAAATAACAGGTTCGGTCTGGTTCATGAACCTTTCGGGCTTAAACTCAAGTGGTTCATTCCAAACCTCTTCACTCCTTGTGATGGCCCACATGTTGACCATAGCAGTGGTCCCCGCAGGAACATGATACCCATCCACTGTGGTGTCCTCAATCGCGAGACGGGCCCACGCCAGTAGTGGGCCCGGAGGGTGCAACCTAAGTACTTCGTTCACTACTGATTGTAGATAAACCATGTTGGTTACATCAGACTCCATCACTGATCGTGACCTTTCAGTAATCCTATCTACCTCCTCTTGTACCTTTGACTGAACGTCAGGGTGAAGTACCATCCGTGCTAATATCCACTCTATTAAAATTGCCACCGTGTCACTCCCCCTAAATATCATTTCCTACATATATGACAAAAATAAAATTAATTCCAAAATCAATCAAATTAAAGAAACAAAAGGTATATATTAACTCTAAATCATATACTATATAGTTACTTACCCAAAGTACGGCAATCATATCAGAGTCTGATAATGCTTCCACCCCTTGAAGAGAGAGTAAAACATCCACAAAATCGCGATGAACATTACTAGGTTGAGCTCGATGTTCATCGATGATCCTACCCACGAGTCGATTCACTTTAGGCACTAGACGTTCACACCTATACTTAATTTTCTGTGGATCAAATTCAGCTAACCAAGGTAGGTGATCAGACCAATTAAGTATTCCCAAAAGATCATAACCTTCATCGACTAACTCGCTCACCTCCTCCGTCTCATCGTTAAAATAATCAACGAGACTATACTTTCGTCCAAAAACAGAACACATCATATTATTCAAAGAAGCCTTTTTCACCACATCTCGAACACGTAAACCTTCTTCACTCCCATTAAAAATCGCCACCATCTGTTTCGCGATTTCAAATCGTTGAGATTCAGACGCTTTAATCTGTTTTGGACAAAACATATGTGTAGATGCAATTTTCCTTAGCGTTCTCCAATAAACCCCATAAGGGGCAAACCCGATCGCTCTATCGAACATTAATCCATACGCAGATTCATTAACAGGACGTGCAACAAAAGCTGTACTGTTCAATATTTCTTTTGCTACGACATGATTACATGTTACGATAAATCTGGTTTCACCTAAGCTGAACGACATGAGACGCTTAGCTTTGAAAAATTCAGCCATATTCGCGATTTTTTGATGAGCTAAACCGGTCATCATGTACATACTACCTATAAAAGGAAAGCCCTTTGGACCTGGGATCGGATTTTTAACGAGTAAATATTTTGTTAATTTGTTATATTTACCCCAAGCTGGACCACCGGGGTGAGTCCAGTAAATCATATTGATGATAAACCAGACGAAAGATAAAATAAGCGCAAATAACATGGAGTTGATGGGGTTGAAAAAATTGCATTTTGTGGCTAAGGCAAAAACCCAAAGGTTTTCTGTGTTTGTTGTCATTTTTTTTTTTTTTGTATTTAATTTGGTTTTGGTGTATAAGATATGAGGTGTTGAATGGGTTTATATAGGCAAAAATTTGAATTATATTTTTGGGAATAATAATATTAGTCATGAGTAGAATAATTGTCACGTGATGTGGGAATATTGTTAATGGATAATACAAGTATACAACTAGTGGGTAATATTTTTTTGATATAGAAATAACACAATTGAGTCAACTATTAGGTAATATTGAGGAGGGATGCACGAATGCATGACAATTGATTAATTAAGGTGGAGGCAACTAAGAACAGATACGTCAGAGGCGGATTCTGAATTTATATGTTCCACGTTAAAAATGTTGAGTCGGGATATTATATTTGCTTGGACGGAGTCAGGATTTTCTCTTAAGAAGTTTCAAAAAATGAAGAAATTAACACACGAATAAGTTGAAAAGGATTCAATAACTACTATATATATAAAAAAAGAAGTTAATCATATATATAAACAATGTAATTTACTATCAAAGGGAATTTGAATGAACCTCTGAGTCTTTACTAGCTCCGCCCCTGAACTCACCAGCCACCTCATTTTGACACGTCCAATTCAGCATGGGAAGTACTATTGGATGATGTAACGTAAGATGCGAAATATTTTATAGAGATTTTAGGTTATCGATTTGAGAATTATTACACCATTAAGTTACTTAAAAGATAATCATATATACAAAATATTATTTAACAAACAGATGTTGATGGATAAATTTAGATATATAGCAAGTAATCTGCTCTAATTGACTAAATTATATAATTGACATAGAATTCCTTATACCTCTAAATTTACATCATGGCTTTGTGGATTAAAATATGCAACATTTTAGTTCATAGTCATTATTAGAACTTATTAAATTCATAGCCACCATTGCACTATAGATAAACTTATGGAATATATTCCAAATGATAAAACAAAGCCAAAGCTTCTCACATTAGAAAAATGTGCTTGATTGGCATCATCAAAGCCATGACATAAGATTTTATCCTACGATGTTGGAATATTATAAACGTATGTTATGATTTATTTATTTTTTAAAAATGTTATACCCAATGGGAGAGTAAATTTTCGACTATAAACTTTGTTAGAGCTTAGCTCATTAGGCATATGCTATGTTAAGGGAGTGATTAGTAGCATCAAATTGGATTTATTCGATTCAAGAAAGCTTGGAATATTAAAAAGTAAAAGGAGAACCAATAATATTTCATTTGGTTCATTTTATATGTCTTAGTTTGATTAAGAGGAAGGGACAAAACCTATCTGAAGTATCTTGTGTTTTTGAGTTTTATAACTGAATTATAAGGTGTGTGAGTTTCATATCTGAATTATCATCAAATGTTTATCAAAAGATACCTCAACTATATATCAGTTGTTCACTTTTTCCTACCTAATATATCATCATCGTTCATGTAGGAAAAGTGAACAACTGATAGTTGAGGTGTGTTTAGATAAACATTCAGTGATAGTTCAGGTAGAACACTCACAAACCAAATAATTCAAGTATAAAACTAAAAAAAAAAAGATACTTTAGGTGTGTTTTTGACCGTTCACTCTTTTTTATTTAATATAAAATTTAAGCATAATGTATAATAAAAACTTTTATATAAATAATTTATTTTGAACTCAACCTTTTTTTTAGAATTAAAAATTTATAATTCCACTCTAATTAAGAGCTTGTTTGGATTGACTTAAAAGTTGGTCAAACTTACTTTAAAGTTATTTTTAGCTTTTAGGAGTGTTTGACAAAATTAAAAATAACTTAAAATACGTTTAAAATAACTTAAGAAAAATTAAAAATTAAAAGCAGATACTCCCCTACTTTTTATTTTTAACTCAAAAGTTATTGACATTTAACTTTTTAAAAACTTTTTTTTTTAAGTTAAGCCAAACGAACTCTAAACCTCAGTCTCATAAAGTCATAAATAATGACATTAGTGTCATCAACATTTCATAAGACTAAATATATAATGTATAATGATGTGGCAAAGCAAACAGCTAGCTTTTATCGCAGTCTGTTAGATATGATATGATTCTCCAATAATTTGTTAGTACACATAATATAATTATTAGTATTGTATAAAATGGTTTACTATATAGTATAATCCACGTCAATTTCATCTATGTATATTTAAACATTATATTTGAGGATGTAAATTTCGTGGTGATTACTTATTAGTGGCAGCTACTTTATATATTAATATAATAATTAGTGGTCCTTCCCATATTTGATTACGTGTATCATAGTATATTCTTAATTTTAATCATCATTTAAGATGGAAATTAATGCGGTTAATCTGTTTATCTACACTATCATTAATATATTAGGACTAGAAATCATCGTGGAGGAATATAATGTTAACAGCTAGAATATTTCTTTTAGGAAATAACATTGAAATTTTCTTCCAATAATCAAATCTTATAAGACTTAATAATCTTCTCTACGATTAATATTACATTACAAGTTCTTCGAAATTATGTAGAGTATCTACCACCACATACACTAGCTTCTAGAGAATATGAAATTAGCTACGAAAATTCGTTGATAATTTTCTATAACATTGTAATAAAAATATTTTTTAACAGTAATAAATATACACATTGATAAAGAGTTCTAAGACCTTTATCACGATTAGCTAATTGCTATTGGATCCAATGTCGATATAGGCTTTAGGAACATTTACAAATAGTGTTAATTAAAAATATATATTCAGCAACAATTAAACTGTTACCGTTAATTAATTGCCGCTAAAGATCTATAGCTCTTAACTAATTGAATTTTCTTATAATTCCATCACAAATATGTCACTAAATGGGATTAGAATGAGATTTTTGTTATTTAGCTACGAAAGTTTATCCGTCGCTAGCAGAAGTCGACATATTTTGGCAAAAGGATCGTAGGAAATGGGAGATAGAAGAGGCCCTTAGCAATCAATGGCTCTCTGATACCATGTGTAAAGTAATGTTTTTGCACTTTACGCTTTCTCATGAGCCTTGAATATAATAAACAATCATACAAGGTTTAAGTCGTTAAAGACAACAAGTACTATAAGGACTCTTGTTGACTATCAAGTATAATTGTACAATGACTCTATTTATGTTCTAATAGTAGTGGTGGGATAGCTAGGGGCACTCTAAATATCACTTTCTTTTTAAATTAGAATAATTAGTTTGAGAATAAATTGAATCACTCTTTAGTAAGTATAGATGAAAGTATGTTACAATAAGCGGATTTATTGGAACTCTCTATCGGAAAATTACGTTACATAAATAGAAGGTTGATTAAAATTACCTTTGACTTCTTAAATTGACTGATAATAAGTAGTTCTACCAAACACCAAATGATTTTAAAAAAATTAATGTAAGCGAGTGTTAAACTAATCGATTAGGAATTGTATTTTTTATATATATTTTGACAGGATCTTCTTGGTTGGAAAATTCAATGAAATAGACATAAATAGTACATTATATATATATATATATATAGTGGAATATGAGATATCCAAGGAAGGATTTCACTAATACCTCAAACTTCCGTACTTAAATATTCAAACAAACCAAAAAAATATTGAATTAATTTGTTATGGAATGAAAATGAAAGCAGGGTCCATTAAGCAAATTATTCGTTTAAAAAAATTGAGCGTGGACTCTGTTAAAGTTGGAACGACGTATTTGATACGAAAGATAAGAGATTATTAATTTTGAAATTAATTTTAAGAAATTAATTTTAAGAAAAGTTTATCCCATATTTGATTGGATAAAATTATGGAGTAACTTATTTCAGGATTGTATTTTTTTTCCAACTCATATTGAAAGTGGGTTAACAATCATGGAATAACTAATTCTGAGATAATTTATTTCCTCAAAGTTTCCAAAATGTTCTTTTTGTTATAAAACGTAAATGAATGGGTTTTGTTTTTAATAGAAAAAATAATTAAAAATATAAGAAAACTAGAGTTTAATTTTCAGAAATTGAATTAAAATACTTTTAAAACAAATAATCATGAAAGTTTGTTTCATGCTTGAAAATAAGATAAATAATAAACTTTAATGTTATCGTTCTGACCATAGACATTTTTTCTCTACAATTTTACTTAATTTAATTGTGTTAGTGTTTTCCCACAATTCCTTTTTTTCTTTTGCAATTACAATTTTGGGTTGATACTATTTCAAAGAAAGTATTAGTTACACCCTTTTTTTTAAAAAAAATGACTTACTTTTCTTTTTAGTCAATTTAAAAAATATATATTTTTTTTTGACATTACTTCAATTTCAACTTTTCATGTAATATGTTTAAGTCCATAAAATTAAATGATATTTTGATATATTTAACAAAACTTTGATCTAGGATCATAAAATTGAAAAATCTTTTTTATTTTCTTAAATTTCGTATAAAGACGGACAATACTAATTGCCATAATTTCTTTAATCTAGAAACATAGACAGTTCTCGTGAATTACTTAGTCCAAATATGACATTTGTCTCTCTTTCAATGGATGACTATATTTTATGTTTTAGGATATAGTTGATATGTTCTAGATTCAATTTGACATATGACAATTTCAACGTATTGTTGCTCCCAATTGGACAGGCAAGTGTACGCGGTCGCACAAATAATATAGTGGCTTTTAAAAGAATTAGATTATCGAACTCAAAGAACTTGTCAATTAACTATTTTTACTAAATTATACTGATCTAATTATTTATTTAAGAGAGCCAAAAGAGAAGAATGCAAGAACAAAATAATAAAATTACTTACAATAGTTAGAAAATCCCAGGGATGCAGCATGTATTGAATTTCATGTATCATATTTTTGGCTTAGAACTAACTTTAATTGTCAAGTTACTGGTTTATAGGGTTGATGATATGATCCGGGTTATATGCCTCTCGTCGCCTACCCTAGTTAGCTATCTAACTACATCGTTGAGCGGAGATAAATAGACTAACTGACGAGCATTTATATTTCATCCTATTTCGTAATCAAGCAAGGTG